AGTCCTGTTAGTTTTCCGCTAGTTCTTATAGTCAATTTGAAACTTACTCGATTAAATTAAATTCCATCTGAATTACAAGGTAGCTAAAATAGTAAATAAAAAATGTTATTAATTAATATTGAAAATATTTTCCGACTTTTAGTTGGTGAAAAAAAAATCAGATATTTTAGCTTTAGGTACAAATTTCTGGAAATTATTTGATTGTTAGTAACATTTAAGAAAACCACCGAAAGCGATTATTCTTCATAAAAATTTCTGCACGTTCTAAAATCTAAAAAAAAAAAACGCTTCATGAAAATTATGTTCCAAAATTGACATAAAAATGCAACTTTTTTAGATCCGCTACCACACCACAGATGGCGCTAAAATTTGTCACGAACTCAACGAAAGTAACCCATCGGTTTTTAAACCCTTTGTTAAATTACGGAACATACGTCAATTAAGCCTTACTGAATAGTTTCTTATGATGCTATGTCAGCAGAAAAGGATTTCATTCCAAAAACATGCACATACTAAGTGGACTTGATGGAATAATAACTGATGCATTTATATGGTGATTGGTGATTGGAAACTCAATATGCTGCAGGAAAGCTCTACATATTTTCATTTTTTGCTCTTCCCTATGTATAATATGTGATACATCAATCATTGCTTTTGAATGAATAGGATAAAAGAGTTGCACACTTCAGGACTCATTTATTTTTATGCCAACCTATGTATTTCGACGTATATTTTATTTCTATTTGTTTCCTTCATTGGAGGTCAAAGAAATATATTTGTTGAAGAGAATTCAGAATATGTATTACGACCTCCGTCTCCGTCTTCACCACAGTTTTTCCTTATCAAGTGTCATTATTGGAGCAGAAAATAAAGAGCTCGTCCGTTTCGTGAAGGTATCGGAAACTTCCCAAATATAGGGGGCGCAAAGAGCTCGAAAATTAATTTGCCCAGGTTTAACACATCGCATCGTGTCAACTCGTAAAATGATGCCGGTGTCAAAATGACTAAACGACTCTGGTTCGTTTGTTTACATTGCCATTCGAGCTGCAAGGCCAAAAAGTCCGCGAAAGTGACTCACCGGAGCTTTTATATACGCCCGATGCTAAACGACAGGTTGAAAATATTATATGGGCGATACAATCGCATTAACCGTATACCGTTATAAATGCGCCAAGAAACAAAGAACTTACTGGTCGATCTATTTTAAGTAGCCGAACCGGAGAGTGCGGTGAGCAATAAGTTTCTTCGATGAATCATTCTCGCTGGCAAGATTCGTTACTACTCACGGTGCCATCCGGAATTAGAACTTGTTGCGCGTTTGGAAAAAAGCGACCGAAGAAAAAGAAGAGAAACGGACAAGATTTAATGCGGCCTGCGTGACGCACTCTCGACATTTGCGCACAAAAGGAAATTAAATTAACCCGCACTTTGAGTCACTTTGAGATTTGGAACGACAGGTCTTATTGGTTGAAAGCGAATTTTGCGTCATATTTTTTTATGACTTCAAAAGTACCTGTTTTTAACAGCACGGACGAGACCTCCTTTAATTGATATATTTTCTCTATAACTTGAAGCGCAAGGTCATTAAAACATCGTTAGAAAGAGAATCCCGGCAATGGTGGAGAGACAAAGACATAATAAGGAATTTCTTATAAGTCACAAAAGAAAGGAAACTGGAGTGGAGGAAAACACCAAATACCAAGAAAATGGGCCTATTAAGAGTGAGTCCTTTATAATAGAAGAAGATGAGAGTTAGATGAAGCTCTATCGATATGGAGAGACTTGCAATATCCTTTGGGACACAGCGACTGACAGACCAATTGTTAACTCTATCAAATTTGAATCTTAATGAAGTACAAGGTAATTCTGAACTCTAGTGGGGTTAAATTTAAGCTTTGACAAGTTCTGTTCTTGTTCAAGTTGTAACCAAAACTGAAAGCAAAATAAATAAGAACTAAAAGTTCAGATTTTCACGAAATTATATATTTTGACATGACAATTGTTTCGACAACACCATGTTGCTTTTTACCAATGACACCTATAATTGCAGATTCTGGATTTCGGCCAATAAGATCAATAAATTTGGATGTGGCAGTTTTAAAGCAGTATTTTTTCAAAATATGCCCAGATCCCAATCTAGTTTAAAAACATAGATATAAACATAGACACCACTCGGGTTTTTCTATTAGGTTGCCACATATGTTGTAATTTCGGGAAAATTTACACAAGTTTTCTAGTGGTTGGGCATTCTTGTCACAAAAACACAAAAAAGGTACGGAAATAATCACCAAACACCAGAAATGAAAATAAAAATGGCACAGACTGCTAGCATTCAGTCGGCGCCATTCAAGAAAAAATACGATAATGTCGCAACTTTATCAATTTGTCAACTCAACGAAAATATATTATAGCCACCTGCGGCACGTCAATTTTTATCAGTAGGGCCACCATAGTATCTTATAGCATTTGTAGCGGGTGTTTTTGTTAGTTTGACAGCACTGTCTTCTCCTCGGTCGTTCCGAGGTTATTTTGATTTGGAAATATCATGAATTTCGCTCAACGAATCTTAACTGGTTACTTCACTAGTTCAGTTGAACACAATGGGATCTAATTTTTGACGCCAAGTCAATAGCCAAAAAGAATCGAAATTTAGGAATATATCAAAAATTGAAAAATTAATAAAAAACAATCATCAAATTTACAAGTTTTCTGTATTCAAATTCAAACACGCATTTCGTACAAAAATTCATTTGATATAAAAAGATTAATAAGTACACTTATACAGAGTGCGTCAATATGACGTACTTCTAAGGAAGGCCAAATGGTGCAAATAAATGAGAACACATATGTCATTTATTCACACAAAATTTCTTAATTTTTCTATGGCATCTTCGGAAAAATTTCGTATCCAATTTTTTTTTTGTTTTTGCTTCTGGTTAATTTCTGCATTCCTAAAGTTTTCTCTACTGGAGGTCTAAAAATGTTTCGATTGTTGTTTAAAACATTTTTAAACTACCCAATTAAGAAGTTGTCAATTGATCGGTCCCAAAACTAGTTAGGGAAAAAAAAAACATTGTTATAAAAATAGGGGATTGTACCTTAGAAATTAAAAACAATGTTAGAAATTTAGGAGTTATTTTTGATAGTTCAATATTTCAAATTGTAGTCAACGTGTTTACGTCGGATTAACTCCCTTGTGCTCTCTATATTCAGTCATGGTGATATTTTCCACTGAATCTGGTTCACAGCAAATCCGGGTTCTAAATAATATATTTTTTTCTAAATAGGACACTCTCTATGTTCTCATTTATTCACACAAAATGTCTTAATTTTTCTATGGCATCTTCGGAAAAATTTCTTATCCAATTTTTTATTTTGTTCTTGCTTCTGGTTCATTTCTTCATTCCTAAAGTTTTCTGTACGGGAGGTCTAAAAATATTTCGAATTCTAGTGCCATTTATGGTACCTACGTACTAGGTGTGTTCAAAAAGTAAGGTGACTCTGATATTTTTCTTGTTATGTTGGTATGGTCTGTTCATAGATATAAGAAACTGACCAATTGCTTTTGAATGGGATTATCCAAGGGTGGTCATTAACATACAATGCAACAAGATTATTACCTAAAGTTTCGGAATTTAAATTCAGGTAAAATTTTATACCTACCTGTGTTTAATATTCTTTGGTTTGGTATACTACTTAGTTTAAGTTTATTAGCAATAATTCTTATTTCGTGTGTAATACAGCGTGTGTTGAATCGTGTGCGAATTATGCAAAATATGTTCGAGTCTAGTGAATTGTGAATAATCCCATTTCAGCGAGGAAAAAAAGAAGCGATGCTGACATTTTCTCGAGTGTAGATGAAAAGGATCAAGATATAATACGGCGTAAAATTTACCAGTTATACGAGGAACAAAGCGTGTTAAATGTGGCAGAACTACCTTATGGAAGTGTATTCAACACATGGGTTTTAGATTTAAAAAATTTGACAAAAGGCAAGTTTTAATGGAATATTTAGGATTCGGAAATGGCGACTGGAATATCTAGAAAAAATTAGGATTTACAGAGAACAACAAAGGCCAATTATTTACTTGGATGAAACCTGGTGCGACACTTATGATACCCCCGAAAAGGGTTGAGTTGGCTCATCTGATAAGTGTAAAACAAACGCGCCATCAAAAAGAGGTAAAAGAAAAACTATTTTTCATGCTGGCTCTAAAGATGGTTGGATTCCTAATGGACTTTCTCTGACTGCGAAAAATATTAAAGATTCTTCTCTGGATTACCATGAAGACACCACACCAGATTTATTTGAAAGTTGGTTTAAAAACAAACTAGTTCCAAACATTCCTCCTAATAGCGTAATTGTAATGGACAATGCAAGTTGTCGCAGTAGACAGTTGACTAAAACCCCTTCCTCATGTGACACAAAAGCAACAATCCAAAACTACTTGTATAATAACGACATTTATTTTCACGAAGATTATACCAAAAGGCAATTAATCGAGGTTCTACAAAGCTTGAACCTACAAAAGAAATACGTCTGTGATAATTCTGCAAAAAAATTTAAGGCTTCCTTCCACCTTACGACTGTATATTTAATCCCATTGGCACCAACTGAAATCTGCCATTCGTCGTAACAATGTTTTTAACTCCAATGTCCTCAAACTTATAAAAACCGAAGTTTTCAACATCCCTCCACATATTCGTATGAGTTAGTCACTTTCTCATATCTATGAACAGACTTTATACCTACCGACGAGTACACATTATATGCGTCGGGCAAAATGGAGCAACATAATCTTAACGATGATGTGCGGCCTGAGCACGAGCATCTAAACGCGATATTGAACTCTCTAGAACCGGTTCTACCGTTATATAATACGGCCCGTCGCTCTTGCGAGATTTGAGATTTTGCCCGTACATGTCTCTCTCGTGGAAAAGGCCCCAGTAATTTTTTCCTATTCGCAGTATTTTTTTTTTTTTTTGGGCGAAACAATTACCTTGCCGGCTGTATCACAGATCTCGAGCCGAATGGGCTTTCCGTCCACTTGAACGTCGACTGTAACAAACAGAAAAAACCATTAGACAATTATCCAAAGATATATGACATCAGCTCCCACTCAATGAAAGAATAAATTAATAAAATATATTTAATAATCAATCAACAATTAATATAATTGATGGTAAAACAGCTTAGACTCTAAATCTGTAATGTGGGTAATAATTTAACAATAGTTAGATCATTTCAGTGCCTCTAATAGATGTAGTAATCTTATAATATAAATACACTTATACTTTGACATAGCTACGTGAAAATAAGAACCTACAAGATAAAAAAAGTAAAAAAATATACATATTTTAGTTAGTTTTTGCAAAAATTATTAATTTTCCTATAGCATCTTCGGAAAAATTCTGGTTTCTTCGATCCTAAAGTTGTCTGTACTGGAGGTCTAAACACATTTCTAGTGCTATTTATTAGTTTCCGTATAGCTCGTCTTATATTAAATATTTTGTATGGTTTAAAAATTTCCCCACTAAAATAGTAAAAGTCATTTTTAACATTAACGTAAAATACGGTTTAATGGCTTAAGATTGGTAGCACTGAGATATTGCATTCGTCACTAAGTGAGGATAATAAAAACTATAGACTCTGATAATCCACACTATAAAAGGATAAATAAATATCGCAAATGCTCCCAAAATGTATAAAAGTAGCGCAGGTGGGGGAAAAATAAACCTCAAATTAAATTAGAAAAAACTGTGAAAATCTGAACATTTTTTGTTCCAATTTAATTTGTGTTAAATGGATTCTCATCAAGTAAAAGCCACCTCAGTGCGAAAAATCAATTATTATTAGATTATTAGTCTTTGATACGATAAAGCACAACAAAAAGAAAATATTTTTTTTTGTATCAATTGACCGAAATAATTATTGAAATACCATAAAGGAAAAGAAATATTGCTAAGATAGCTTTGGGCTTTGCTTCTATTCATCAAGTCGGCATGATTGGATTGAAAATTCTAACAGTTTGTTCATTTTTATCTGATTGAAAATAATAACCAATTTACAAATGAAAAATATTAGTAAAGAAATGTAAAAGAAGCAAAGCCACCTATGTAATAAAAAATGTATTTACTTATCTGTTTTTTTTTCTTCCTGTGAGCTTATTTTTTAACGGATTTTGAAAATTTTGGTGTCAGAATGTTGCTAAAAAAGGACCGGTTTTAAAAAGTTTTTGTTCCCACTAGGGTGTTATTTGAAAAAGCTGGGTTATCCTATATCATTACATTAAATGCTATTTGCCATTAGACAAGTAAAGAAAAGTTTCATTTACAATTTTTCCCATAATCAGGTATCAGGAAATAGTATCTATGATGGTCCACAGCCTCCTAGACACAATTTTTTAAAAAATAAATAAAAATTTTAAAAAAACAAAAACAATGAGAAAAATGAATGATCTCCTGAATCCAAAAATGCAAAAAAATATAGGGAGTGCCATTTAAAATTCGAAAGTTACTGTCATTTCCTCCCAAACCGGAAGTACAACCATTGACTACATATTGTCAAAATATTGGACGTTCAGTCTGTATCAACGCTTAAAAATCTCAGATCGCTATCTCTTCAAACCGTTTAAAAGTAGAGTGTTCCCACTTTCTTGTGTCACCCGGTATGGTATATGGCAAAATTTCAATTAAATTTTCGTAATAGTCATTACGCGCAACCTTGAAAGGTCTTTCTACCTCGCGGTCCTTCTATAGAAAATTAGCCCGACAATCAAACCGGTACGTTGCGAACCACGGCGTGGGCCTACCCGACCCGTAAGGCCATTAATTATACCCTTTTTTCTGTACGCAGGACAATTTGCTATTTTGAAAAATTGCGACCGATCCTTGACTACTATATGGGGTTCGGGAAGAGTCGTAAATCATTGCTCGCCGGTTTTAATTTACGAGTTTTATCTGGATTTTGCATCCGCGCGGCTAAATAAGATTATATGTAACTATTTGATCCGATAAATTCTTACCGTCAACAATATGCTGATTATCTTTGTGCGTTTACGACAAACTGTTTGCTTTCCGACTTTTAGATGGAATTATTGTTGTCGGGCCGTAAAAGAACGCAAATATTGACGAAACAATCGATCGGCGACAAAACGGGACGTCTATGGGTGCCTTAACGCGTCCGCTGTACACCCGAAAAAAATTCAAACCGCGAGACCGGTAAGGCCGCCACAGACAACGTGTTTTACGTCGCAAAGATGGATGAAAAAAAGGTTCGTATTAGAAAGGATACCGGCGTTACCTTCGGCACGTAATAATATTTGACATGCGATTCGAGATCTGCGGTCATTAGTGTAATAACAATTTCCCAAGAACTGAGCATTTATCACCTGGCGTCATAATGAGTCCCGCGGTCTTCACCACAGAACACAAACGCTTATACATCACCTGTGTGTCCTACGTAGGCTAGGATGAAGATCCTCTACATACACCCGAATAATTTCGGTACCAAAGCTGCGCGCATGCGTTCGGGTTTCTGGGTTTGTGTATAACGTATAACGACCCAGCAGATTTTCGATAGTGTAAGGATCATCAAAAATAAAACCACGTAATGAAGCAGAATCGAGTTTAATCCTCTCCGTTCGACAACTACGTCTTCACTAACTCATCGTAAACCCCCAAAAACATCGCATAATAATACCCTAATTATCTCCTCACCGCAGCTTGCCCACCCTGTCCTTTTTGCCTGAGACGCCGATACATTTTACGATCGGCAAAAAAAACAAGGCGGCGCCTCTTTGTTACGGGGTCTTGTCGGATATGACGTAATAATATAAATATTCCAACACTCGGCCATCCTGACTATTGGTCTGTCCTCAGACCTAATGGTGAAATTTAAACGTAACTTAAATCTTTCAAAACTACAATAATTTGACTATTCTAGCTTGGTTCCTAGTCTTACGTAATAAAAAAAACATAATCAATTAGTAGGGTATCTTAAACATAAGCGATATTCCTTTATAAACAATAAAATAAGCAACATTTGCTTATAGGCAACGTTTGCCAAACTACAAAACACGAGCGACGTTCGCTCATAGGCACGTTTGCCAAAATACAAAACACGAGCGACGTTCGCTCATAGGCACGTTTGCCAAAATACAAAGCACGAGCGACGTTCGCTCATAGGCACGTTTGCCAAAATACAAAACACGAGCGACGTTCGCTCATAGGCACGTTTGCCAAAATACAAAACACGAGCGACGTTCGCTCATAGGCACGTTTGCCAAAATACAAAACACGAGCGACGTTCGCTCATAGGCACGTTTGCCAAAATACAAAACACGAGCGACGTTCGCTCATAGGCACGTTTGCCAAAATACAAAACACGAGCGACGTTCGCTCATAGGCACGTTTGCCAAAATACAAAACACGAGCGACGTTCGCTCATAGGCACGTTTGCCAAAATACAAAACACGAGCGACGTTCGCTCATAGGCACGTTTGCCAAAATACAAAACACGAGCGACGTTCGCTCATAGGCACGTTTGCCAAAATACAAAACACGAGCGACGTTCGCTCATAGGCACGTTTGCCAAAATACAAAACACGAGCGACGTTCGCTCATAGGCACGTTTGCCATTAATCCTCTTCGTTTTGTATACTAATCCACTTTTTAACATGGTCTGCGGCTACAACAGTTCGTCTACGTTTGAACCCCTCTCGTAAGTCTTCAACTTCGTATCTGTCATTAAATAGTACTTTTGTGATGCGAAAAGGGCCTTTGTATTTCGGATGAAGCTTATGACTGGCACCCGTAGTAGGTATACTCGTTATTAATACTCTAACTAGGTCACCGTCGTTGTACCTTTTGGCATCTCGTCGTGTTTTATCATAGCGTTCTTTTTGTTTTTTCTGGTCCCTCGATATGTGATCCGAAATTTTACACCTAAGCTCTTCCAGGTCTAGCCTATCGATTTCGTCTTGGATTTCATTCAGAATTATTGCCTCTGCCGCATGTTTTGAATTATAGCCAATAAGCGCCTTCATGGGGGTCGAATTAATACCCTTATTAAAACTTGTATTAAGTGCGCTTTGCACTTGTTTTATATATTTGTCCCAATCTCTTTCATCCTTGCCTGCAGCTGTTGTTGATAGCGCACTCACAATGGTTTTGTTATATCGCTCACATTGGCCATTACTTCTGGGCGAGGCAACGGCATTTAAAACGTGCTTAATCCCATAAGTATTACAAAATGTTCTAAAAGTTCGAGATGTAAAAGCTGTCCCTCTATCGCTTATAATTCTGCTAGGTACTCCAAATAGATATATTAGGTCGGTTAAAACCCTAATAACGTATTTACTTTTTTGATTATGTACTGGTTCGATTACAGTGAATTTAGTAAATGCGTCAACAATTACAAAAATATACTTATTCTTCTTTTTGCTTGTCATAAACGGCCCAACATGATCTACATGTAATGTATGAAAAGGAATCGGATGTTTCTCAATAGGGTTCAATTTACATTCTCGTTTAGAAAACGACTGTTTGTAATACATACAACTTAGACATGCGTTAACATATTTCGTTACGAATTTCCTCATTTTTGCGAACCAATAGTTTTCACAAATTCTTTGTAACACTTTTTCTACACCAAGATGCCCAGAATCATCGTGACACAAACGACAAATTTGCATACGTGCTGCTCGTGGAACAACCCATGCTTTGGTTCCATTTCCTAATTTTTTGTATAATTTGTTATTCCTTAACTCATACTGCTCAAAGTAAAACTTTGTATCGCTATTTTTTATTTTATCGGCTAAAATGTTTCGGATTCTACAAATCTGTTCATCTTGCATTTGTGCGGCGGTAATCCAGTCAGCTTCTGTCAAGTCTATATGAAAAACTTCAACTTTAAAATTATTGTTCGATATAGGGTTTCTGCTAAGAGCGTCAACATGCGTCATCTTTTTGCCGGCCCTGTACTCAATTTCGAAGGTATATTCTTGAATTTCCAGCCACCATCTTCCAATGCGCGGGATCAAATCCTTCTTTGATAAG